AGGCCATCCATCTAAGAGAAGGTCACTCTAAACAAACCTACGTCCTGAGGACCTCACTGCCACTGTCCAAGCTCGCAGATGAACCTTAGGATTAAAGGGTGGGCTCAGTTCAGCGCACACTGTGTCTCACCTAAAAAATCCACTGCGCAGGCTTGAAGGGTAAAAGACCTTTCCCAAATCTTTGTTCGTGAAGACTGGCCATGAATGAATGAATGAATTTCCTTAGCTATGTATTCTTGTAACTTGCACTGGGAAGTGGTGAAGGGGGTTGTGCAGTTAGGGCACAGTGACCTGTCCGCGTGAACAGCACATGAGGTGTACCCAAGTACCGCAGGTACTGTAGAGCTACATGTCCCCACATGTGGTTGCATCACTATGACTGTGTCTTCTGTTGCATGGGACATGGCTGAGTAATTTCTAAGGAAAGGACAAAAGAAAGAAGGAACTGAAAACTAAGGGGGAGGCTTTCTAAAGAAAGGCTCTGAGGCCTGTACTAAATGTTGCAACCTATGGAAAATAAGGCAGCAGCAACAAGGCAAAACAGGGGAAGGACTTCAATATATGTGGAACAGGATGATTCCCATAAGCAGCTTGATCTATTTTGGGTGAGCTGATCGTAATGGCGGTAACACAGTATGATGATACTCTATTCTGGCTCTGTTGCAACTTTTATGCTGCTCAGAAAATCTACAGCTTATTATCTAGTGTCTTGCAGACACTAGACTTAAGCACATGCTAATCATAATCTTTCTTTTTACTTTGTACTCTCTCGTGTAGTTATTACAAAATGTTGTACTATTCTTTGTGAGTTCTCCGAAGTCTTAGGAGTGAAATGATGAATTAAGGTAATATCAAAATAGCAAGTGAAATAAATGCTTAAAACTGCATGATGTGTGTGCGAGTAAATTAAGTGATTGTTATTTTCCATCTGATAGTGTAAATGGCATGTGTTGTGGTAAACGGCAAAAATGGAGTAGTTAGCAGTGAGGATATGTTGTTTTACCATGGATTATCAAGGTTCTGCTGTACAAAAGAATGAAAGAGCTTAAGTATGGTTTTGATAACATGTATCTTGGAACCTAACATTTAAGTGATTTTTTTTTTTGCGTAATCTTTTTTTTTAACCTTGTAGTTATACAATTATACCATGTAGATATACAATTTAACCTTGTAGTATACAATGCTCTCTAAATGATTCCAGTTTCCACAGTGTGACGTTTTTCTGTCCCAGTTCTTCTCAAAGCATATCCTGATTGGTACACATTCTGCAGACTCCATTGTCTGTGGCAGCAATTTGATACTTACTATCATTCTGTCAGCTGCTTCTTTCTCTTGGAGGCTTCCTCTCTGCTTGCCTTATATCATATTCATTCATTTTTCTCTCTCTTTTCTCTGAGGAAGCCTATAAAGAGATATATGATAAATTTCTTCAAGTAGATAATTTAAAATGAATATCTGGCTTTCTTGGTAAGTGGGACAAGGAAAACAAAGTTTTGATACACTAGAATACATCTGGTAAAGTCTTAATGCAGCAAGAAAAAACATCCACCTGTATTTCTGGGAGCAATGGTCAACCCTCAGCTCCCTCACCAATAAATCTGGCTTCAGTTAAATGAATTTCATGTTCCATCACTGTATTTTATTGTTCCCTTAGGTTATCTAAAACCATTGCTTTTGCTGTTGCTGCAGTCAGTGATGTTATAGAACTTTATACTTCAGTCTGACCAAAAGACTCCAGTTAACTATAGGTGATGATGATGAAGACAATTCAAACTCTTTCTCTACATCATTTAATCTCACCTTGAATCATCTGTATGTCACCAGAAATACAGCTCAGATATGTTGTCTCTTCACTATTCAGCTTATTTATGTGATTCCCAAATTGTCTTCCAAATAGACAACCATCTGGATGTTTCTTAATTATTTTTGTAAGGACTTGTTAAAAAATAATGATTGTTTTTTGCAGCCCTACTACAGTATTGTTTTAATGAAAAAAAACACAAAAAACCAACCCATGTGTAATTATTCAATCAAGTGTCTTCAACACTAAAAAGTACTGATATATATGCTCACATATATGATACCTAAATAAATTACTAGGAGATAATCAACACAACAAATCCTAGAATTTCCTTCTTTTTTTTTGGTATAGTATCTTTTTCTAATATTCAGCTTCTAGCACTTCCCAAAATTTCTAATGCTTTGGAAGAAATACTTTGTTTTCATGGATCTGTGGTTTCCACCACTGCAGATAAAGTAGCAAACAGGTTTTCTGAGACAGTTTGACAGAATTCTCTTAGCTTGCAAGAGACTGATTGCTAAAGAGGAGGGCACATCTCAGATCTCTTGCTGTCACTTGTCACAGAGGCAGGAGGCACAGGTTATCCTCCCCAGAATGAGCCAGTTGATTTGGAGGCTATAATGAAGCTGACCATCAGTAGGCTCGCTACCTTACACTGACAAGGGATGCTTGATAGAAATGGAGAAAGATCTGTTTTGGGAAGAAGGAATCCAGTTCCTACCAGCATCTTTACTTTTCTAAAGAAGAAAAGAAGAAAGGGACTCTGGGGTGTCTGCCCCTGCCAGGGACTAGGGAAGAGCTACCAGCCCGCTGTTGCTGCAGAGCAGGCTGGGTGCTGACTGATCAGCAGCCAGTGTTGGCTGAAGATATTCCTCCTGTTAAGTTAAGAACTTCAAGCTGTGCTCAGTTTTCAACTCACAGAACCAATTTATGGGTGGTATGAGGAGATAAAGCTTCATTGGCTTCTATGAACTGACCTACATTTATGCTGGTGGTGAATTAGGCAAAATATATTCATTCCAGCTTGATCTCAGAACCTTTGATTAAATTATGTTTTTCTCTATTGTCTCATGAAGGGCTACATCTGGTCATGTAGAAATAGCTTGTAACAACATTGAAACATAAATTATTTGATGAACTACTTAGGACTATTCACTTAATGCATGATAATCCTGTGAACATGTTAATGAGCAGCAATTCTCTGATGATTGAACTGCTTTAAAATGTCTTTCTACTTATATGTCATTAGAATGAACTTGGCACTTCTAAAACATCCATTATTCATCATGTTCCAGTGTTGCATCTGACGGTGTATCACTAATTTCACTCACTTAACAAAACAATCTATTCATTACAATAGTTTGAAGCATGTTTTCTACATCAGAAAAATTCTAGTTAAATATACAATGTTACTTATCTTTACAAATATCATAGAGCAAAAAGTAGCATCCCAAATTGTAATTACACAGCGCATTTGGATATGCTAACTAAAACTAAATAGAAGTTTTAAGAAGAACCTTCAGTTGAAATAAATGATTTTGTTAGCTGGAGGAGCAGGATTGGTAAAACAGCTCACCAAAAGCAAAAGTTGACTTTTCTTTCTGAAATAGTTCAGCAAACATTTTCTCAGTAATGCCTTTTCACGTGTATTTATTGTCCCAAAAATTTAAGAAACAGAGAAAGAGAATTTTTAGTGCAAATATGAATACTTCTAAATATATATATTTTCAATGGTTTTTCCTGCTTCTCCCATGTATTTTTTCATTTTACAAGTCCTGGATCATTCCAGACATTGTGAACCCCATTAAATCCTACATTAGCTTTGGTCCATTTTGAATCTGTGTGTGATGGCTACTTCAGAAGAGTTTCTTCCCAGCAAGCCCAAGAGATCTATCTCAGAAAGTGTTGGACTGCTGTATGACTCCATGGTTGAAGATTTTTTACTCATGTTCTGCAAGGACTCTTCTCCTTAAAGCAGCAGACAGCTTTTGGTAGAGGAGTTAGATAGAATATCAGCTAAATGGACCACTTGAAGTAGTATCAACAGAAATGTGTTTTCTTTTCAGTGTAGCTAAATGAATTTCCAGCTGAATTAGCAAAATTCTGGTAAATAACTGTGGAGATGGGCTAATAACCTCCAAACAAGCCAGAAGACTTTTTTCTCAGAGTGAATGAGAGTCTTATAAAACACACAAATATATGGTGATGAAACTTTCAGTCTTTAGATGCTGAAAACCACTTCAGTCTCTTAATTTTACTTTAAAAATGCTTATTTGCCTGGCTAGGAAAATAGTCAGTAGGCACTTATGCTGGGCTTACTTCTCAGAGTTTTTTGATCAACCATGTTTTTAACACACTCTATTTTGGTCTGTTGCTGAAGTAGGATATTTGGGCAGATATGAGAGGTTTATGAATGCTTTCCTAGTAACCAATGGAGTTAGGGAGTCTCTGTTGTATTAATACTTTCAGCAGCTCTTGGTAAAATAGAAGTCAATATATTAATGATTAACATAAAAAATTGTTAAAATAATGTGAATAAAATATGTGTTAAAGAGATGGAACAATTGTGTGATAAGAGGAAGATACTAAAAAGGTGGATTTTGAAACATTAAATAAGCATGGATCTCTCTGTGCTTGGCTAAGAATGTTGATGGCATCAGACTGCACTAAGAAACTCAACTCTGTGTTCACTTTTTAACATTTCTGTCTCTTCCTGTGAGTCACAATCCTTTTTTGCTCATAACACAATAAATAAGAATTAGTTTGCAATGAGTTAAGAATTAATTGCAGTGAATTTCTACTGACGCATTTAAAAACTATCAATATAGTTCTTTTTCATGAATCTTTCCTTAAAAATGTCAGTTTATGGGACATATATGTGATGCTTCATTTATGATAGTATCAAAATTGAATTAGTGGTGTCTCAAGCTTTCATACACGTTTTTATGGTTAGACTTCTAATGGTAAGTTAAACTTTTCCTTCCAACTAAGCTTGATAGTGTTTGTGGACATATTGCTATAGCTTTGCCTATATTTATGTGTAATTCAACCTATAAAAAGCCTTATGTTGTATATGGAAATAATTCTGACTGTTTTATATGGAGGAATTGATATTAACAATGCAAATAGTTTCTACAAAATGCTAGAATAAGGACCATTTTTAAATCTTAATTAAGGTGTCTGTATTTCTTTAATGCAGCCCCAGTTCTCCCTGGGGCATATCAGCAAAGCCAGACTCAAGGATATGGATACATGCACCAGACCAGTATGTCGTCCATGAGGTCCATGCATTCACAGCCTCATTCAGCAAGCCTGGTGAGTATCGGATTTAAAGGAGAATTTTATTTGGTAAGCAACATATCAGCAATTGGGAAATCCCTTAAATATGATTGAATTGATCCCCTTGAGTTCTACAGCTAAACTATTTGACTGTCCTAGTCCTAAATGTAAGTGACAGTCCTCATGTATAAAAAAGATTTAAGAGACTATAGGCAGTGGTAAGAACTCTTGCATCAGAATGCATAAAAAAATAATTTATGATATCCAGAAAAATAACTGAATCTTTTACCTACTTAAAACAAATAGTAAATGCTTGGACAATATTTCACATGCTGAACTTTATATTATACTCTGTGATGAATTCATGCTCCTAGCACTGGATGAAACCCACTGATCTCTTAAGATCACCCTGTTGATTTAAATTAGTTTCAATTTTTTTTGACTCGCTGATTTTGCACTACAGGCTTTGTGCCTGTCTGCATTACTTATTTCTTCTTGTATAAAGCTGGCTCAGTCTCTGTGTTGGTGTGCCCTTTCTAATTCAGCTGAAGAGTCATGCACCAACTTGTGCCTGCTCCAAACTGAGTTATACTGGTGGACAACTGAGAAGAACCTTTATCATGAAACTGTGGCTACGAAGTTCTTAATTGTGGTGGATGGGAATGTAAAGCTGGAGTGAATATTTCATTTTAGAAGTAACTGGTCCTGGTAGGAGAGCTGAATGGGTATTCAACTGGGATTTTTAGGAAATTGAGCTTCTTTTTTCCTTTTGAACTCTATATATATAGAGTTCATTTTTAATGGTTATCATATTTTTTAAATTATATTGCTGCCTAGAGATTCCATAGTTCAGATCCAATCACCTTTTACCTTAAAAATATTGACTTGCAATTTTGAAGTTTAAACTCTTTTGAATGGATGTATATTTACTACATCTGTCACATTTTAGAGATGAATAAATATTTAATTATGAACCAAACTTAGAGCTTGCTGAGCTTGAAAATGTTTGTTTTCCAGATTTCTGAAACTTGTATTTTTTTTGTAAGAGTGAAACTCTGTGACATTTTGTATTGTAAAGATCATGATGTTCTGTGAGGTGTGAGTGGTTTCAGGCTTCCCAGAGTCTTATCTGCCTGGGGCTGAGGGGGCTAACTTGCTGGAAAATCTGGGATTCAGATACCTGCATCTTTGAGTGAATCAATAACCTGAGAATCTCTTTGGACAGCTGCATGACAGCTGTGAGACGGCTGATGCTGGAATCAACCATTAATTTCCAAGGATATCACAAGGCATTTGAGGAACTGGCTGTTTTCCAAAAGGGCCAGAGTACAAAAAGTAGGAGACCGGAAAGCCTCGACTTTGCCAGGAGATTTCTAGTAGTTGGGGAGTAAAGCAAACAGCTTTTAAATGCAGCAGATAGAGAATGGAGATGCCTGCAAATCTTGAAATGCACTTACCAACCTTTGCAGCCATGTGGGCAGGTAGATGACTACTATTACCCTTCTGTCTCTATGTCCCAGTGACTTATGTGGCAGACTGTTGAAACAGCATAGTTTCAGTCATCATGAGAATCAACATCTGCCTCTCCTTCCAGAACTGGAAATGTAAAGGTAGTAGGAAAAGGAAGGGAGTGACATTAAAGGATTTTAAAAATGAAGGATTGACTTATTTCGACAGGATTTCTTATCCCTTTTGTGCAACTGTTGTCACTTGACATCCTTTTAAGTGATAATAGCTGCTTATCATGGGAAAACAGCAAACATCATGATTTGAACAGATCTTGCTGCTGTTAAAAACTGAGTGGGCTTCCTTGTAGACAGTAAACCCCAAACATTTCCAGAAATCAAGGACTGCTGCCTGGTGCTGACTGCTAACTTGCCAGTCTGGTGAGGAAGACATGAGCATGATGTTGTCACCCCAGGGTGTTGATTCTGCTCCAAAAGAGGCATCTCAGATGCGTCTAGAAACCTGCTGTGCTCCTTTGGCTTTCCACCTTCATGCCAGAAGACTGCGTTTTCATTACCCTGTGAAGCTTATCCAGGGTGCTGGACATGCTACTCTCAGCTGTTGGGATGATACAGAGGATTCTCTGCATGTGCTTGGGGGAAACCCCTGATTGAGGATGTGTTTAAATGTAGTAATTAGCACAGACTGAAAATATCTAGTCTTGGAGTGCTTTTAAAATGTGATATGGACATGGTGTAGGAGATCTGACAAACACAATGTTTAGGTTCATTGTTTTCAGCTGCTTGTTCAGTTCTGGGCTTGGAGCAGTACTATCAGAGATGTGGTGTTGTCTGGCTAGTAACAGAGGGAAGAAAGAAGTAAGAGAAGAAAGTAACAGCAGGAGGAGATTGAAGGAAAGAAAACCTAGACTAAATAGTGACCTCAAAGCACAAACAGTTTTTGAGACTTAAGTAGAAGCAGTGAAGGTGACAAAGTCACTCATCAGTGCCTGAGTATGGCCAGGACATCTCTAGGGTGAGAGTGATTAAGTTCCCATGGGTTATATCAGAGTGAGCATAATTAAAGAGTTAGCTACTGTCGTAAAACTACTCCTTTCAGCTGATTTGTTGTATTGTTATCAAATCAGTGTCCCCAAAAGATATAAATTAATTTTATAATCATGCCCACCAATCTTCTATACTGAGAAACCGAATTTTTCTAATTTCTACAGTTTCAAAATTTGGTTTATTTCATTTTAGCTGTGTTTTGTGTGAGGCATGATCCTAATGCAATCTTTTGATAGATTTTTTTTCCTCAGATAAATTGCTTTATTTTCTGATTCTTAACTTTTGCTCACTTTCTGCGAGCAGTTCTGCATAATGGGCTGAATTAAATTGTTGCTTAGATTACAAAGATGTTTTATAACAGATGCCTGCAGGCTGTTTGCCTCTTTGGAAAACAAAACCCTTGTTGCAAGTTAGCTGCTGTATTTGAAAGGATGCTCCAACAGGTACTGCTCCTTGCAAGGAGCCATCCATAGAATGAGTATAAACTAGTGGATGAAGTGGAAAAACGTATCTGTCAGTTCAGATCTATCTAGGGAGCTGAGAATATAAATTGGTCTTCAGTTCTTTATGTGCAGAGGACTTAACTGTTCTGTCTAAGCAGCAGCTGTGAGATAGACCTTTGAGGAAGTGAGAAATAAGTGAGTATTTGACTGTTTTACAAAACTCTAAACTTTTCTTACAACCTGTTGTACTCAGTACCTGCTAAACTCACTACTGACAGAGGAATAATTCACTAGAATGCATTTTAAAAATCCCTTTTTTGAGTCCTTTAGGCATTGTAATTCTCAATTATATAGCACAGACTACACTCTGCAGTGATAATTAGGCATTAAATGCTAACAGGATTATTATGGAGATTTCTCCTGACAGCCATTTAGCACCTAATTAGGTGTTAAGGCCATAAATTTAGGTTTCTCAGCAGCATTTAGGGCCCTAATAAATTCTTTTGAAGTTTGAAATTACCAGCTTGTCTTCACAACTGTGCCACCACAGTGATGTAAACAAGCTGCCTTTAAGGAGACAGCAGTAGTATGTCCTTTGCCATCGTGCTCTAAGGATGAATGAGCATCCTTCTGAGTGAGCAAGAACTCTCTATTTTTCCAATTTTATGTTGGTTTAATAAAACATTTAATCTCTTCTCCCAGCCTTTGCCCATTTAAGGGAGACATATAGGCATGGCTCAGAGTGAAATCCATTTGCTGTCTTATGCCAGATATAGATTTATTACCATTTTTCTTAAATGGACCTTCTTTTGAAATAAATTTTTCAAAGGCCTAACTGCTGCTGAACTTGTAATAGCATGTTTTTCACTGCTTTTTCGGAGTTAGTTTAGAGAAAGTCAGTTAGTTGAAAAAGTTGGAAAAAATAAGATTCCTAAAGGCAGAGGGTCTTCTGACCGCTAGTTCTCTTTAAGGAATTTTTGGTGATGATAGAACCCACCCAATTACTTGCTGTGATGTAGTGCATAAACGATGATGCTTTTTTTCATCAACTCCCATGAACACTTGGAAGACTTTTAGGAACCTTTGGTTGAAAATTAGTCTTGGTCACAGCCTGTAGGACAGCAAAATTACAAGGCACTGCAGAGAACAATTATACAGAGCAAGCAGTTCAGAGTAGGCTTGTCAGGAAAGGTGGTCTCCAGTGGTCTCCTTGTTTGAACAGGAGCTGATTCTCCATACTGTTTAATCTGCACTACCAATTATAAAGGCAAATCAAAACAAGAAGTGTATTTCTGGCATGGGAACAGAAATGATAAATTGCCTTATAGTGTTTGGATTAAATAATTCCACATTTCCAACATGTAACAAATGGCCTCCTCACTCTGTATGAAGAAGTCTCCACCTTTTCAGAAAACAGTTTTACTAAAAACACTCAAAACCCCATATATGATATATACTAAAACTAATCCAGAACTGTTTTCCTGGTCTGGGTAGCAGAACGAAGTTAGCTGTCTATTAAAAGGTTCAGACAATAATACTAGGCATAACTCAAACATTGACTGTTTTTACCTTTTTTTCTCTTCAAATCATTCTACCAGAAAATTTCAGCTACTTATGATAATATAGCAAAAATTACCGAAAGGGAAAGTGAATATTGTCAGTGATGCTTGAACTGTACTTGACTTCTCTTGAGAGCCAGGGTAAAAAAAAGAAAGTATTCCTGGGAATTTTAAAATGAGTTATTTTTTTCTTCTGTTAAGGTAGAAGAGGAGATTGTTCCCCCTGAGTTTCAAAATCCACTTTGAATTCCAGTATAAAATCATAGCATTTTATTGATTATGAGTGAAAACAAATACTCTATTTAGAAAAATAGAGAAAAAAAATTTGATATCGTGGCTTACAGTGGGCAGAGTTGTACAGAAATTTGGCTTAGCTAATGACGGGACTTTATGTGCTAAAGAGAACATTTTATCTGATATGAAAAAATGAGTATTCATAAAAATTATTTTTACAGACTTTTTGAAATCTTGTTTTTTCTTTAGATAATAATGCATCATAATTCTTAATTCAGGGTAGAATCCTAATGAAATGAAAGACATTCCGTGAGATGGCAAAGTTAATGACCTGGATGAAGACTGTGTTCCTTTTTGTAGTGAAAACATAGGAGAAGCTATTTGGGAATCATGCAAATAGGAAGAAGAAGCACAGCTAGCCATGGCTGGATGTATTGAACTGTTACTAGTGAATAAATGAAACAACAATTAGAATATTTCAAGATGCAGTGAATGGCTTGAAATCTGTTTGTATGAGGTCTTTGGACAATGTAGGTTAACAAAAATAATTATTTTGCTACTCAGTATTCACTGTATTTTTGACAGGGTGGAGAGAGTACCGTTCCTTTTCAACAGGTAACTTGTGATTTTACTCTCTGCCTTGCTCCCTCTATTCTTTTTTCCTTCTCTTTTCATCTTTGTGCAAAGAGAAGGAATCTATCTCTGTTTAGACTTGAGACTTGACAGCCTTGTTTTCTTTCCTTCAACAGAGAACGTATAGAGCTATGTATGACTACAGCGCTCAAGATGAAGATGAAGTTTCCTTCAGGGATGGTGATTATATCATCAATGTGCAACCAATAGATGATGGCTGGATGTATGGTACTGTTCAGAGAACTGGGAAAACAGGAATGCTTCCAGCAAATTATATTGAGTTTGTTAACTAATTTTTGTCTCTACTCCTTTGAGCTTTATTATGATTTACTCAAAATCTAACCTTTTAGAAAAAAGTCAGAAGAATCTTTTAAGAGTACATGATCATTACGTTATCACTGCTATAACAGTTTGCATTCTTACTCGGAATCCAATTTAGACTTCTTTAAAATAGAGATAAATAAACCGCAAGAAGCTCAGAGCTTTGAAAATAGCATGGCTTATAATCATGCTCTCTCAAAATGAAAAACATATATGGAAGCCTGGTGCTGCCTATCCTATAAAAATTTTAGTCAATTACCTGTAAAGGGAAAATACCTTTTCCCTACATATCAAAGAGGTTATTTCTCTTTGTAAAACCAACCATAAAATCAATGCACTTCTGGCACTCTGAAGTCACAGGAAGTTAACACACTGAGTTTGAACACATCTTCAAATTATTAGGGAGGTGTTTAACGTTTGAGCAGTTAGCATCCTAATAAAAAATAAAATGTTGAGTAGATAATTCAGTCATTTGATATAATGACAAGTAATATGCCAGTAAAAAAAACAGTAAAATCCCCTACTGCCCAGCAGCCTTACAATGAACAGGTCCATTTTAACAGCAAAATTTTCCTGACTCTTGCATACCCACATTTATTTCTGCATTACCCATTTTTTCTTATTTACAAGTGACCTATCAGCTTTGCTTGCATCCCAATCCATCAGTTAGATCCATGTCTAGATCCATGATTCTTCAGTATCTTTTCCACAGAAGATTCCTTGCAAAGACTATCTAAAGTATAAAACCTGTCAAGTCTTTTGTTTCCTTCTAATAATAACTAGCATTTAAATAGAAACTTACATTAGGGCAACGTACAACCAATACTTCATGTAGTTCCTTTACCTTCACTTGTACTGCTGTAAATAAATATCCTGTGTGAGGCCCTGGTGCTGTGCAGTCACACAAAGCCTGCAGTCATACCCCTCCTTCTTACCTACCACAGGTAACTTGCTTAATGGCTGCTTTGCTGATGAGCTAATGTACCTACCCCTGCTTCAGAAATACTTATGCCTCCATCGAGGAGTGGAGGAGAGCTCTGTTTATTGTAGTGCATTTCAGATCAAAAAATCTTGGTGATCCAACAGTGGGTTGTACGCTTGCCAAATGTTTAATGATGGAGAAATATGTTTTCTTTTACTGACTTGATCTTTCTCATAACTGACACTGAAGGGAAAGCTAACTAAACAAAAGTCCAACATACTCTATGCCATTATGTTTCAGTTTAGCCATCTGTAGAAAACAGTAAAAATATTCTGCTGACAAACCTTCACATATGCTATTTGGTGTCTGTTAACATTATGGTCAGAACTGAGAGATCCAGGTCTTACTCTGTGAGGCTGAGGAGAGGATCAAACAACTGGTGACATAGTGGACCTGTAAGAGGGACTGTGTCAGCAGGCTTGGGTCACAGGGAACTTGCTTTTGCTTTGACTGGATGCTGCATTCCCTCCCAGGGAGAAATTCTGGGAGGAAGGACAAAAGAGTTAAAGATTCATGTGGGAATGAATCTGCATCTTGTGCGGATGCAGATGCAGAAAATGTTTTTACTGATAATATAATTTGTGGAGTCCAGCCATATGCTAGAGAAGTTAGAGACACTTGTAGTAACCCTCAGAATGTTGAGTCTGCACTGGCTTTCTTCCATTTCTAAAATTTTTAAAGTAGAATTAAATATAGAGCTTATAGACAATTTTGTATTTCTCATTTCACAAAGTAGGCAACTTTGCAATATCTATTTAAAGAACAAGGAAGGCAGTATGGATTTGTTTTGTCAACTGAAAGTTGTCAATGCAAATACCTGCACATTCTATTTTTGCATACAATTAGAAATTGGAAAGCTTATGCAATTTTATTTTGGGTTTTGCTAACTCGGGGCTGATTCCAGCTGCCAAACAGAATAGAATGACTGCATTAAAAAAAAAATAAAAATTAAAAAATGTCCATGACTGTGGAATTGCCTGGGCTTTCTTGTCAGCAGCCTAATTCCAAGGCTAAAGCTGTCCGGGAGCATCTAACTTCAAAAAGTATTGTTTAAAACCAGAGATTCACTACTGTAAATATCCAATCTCTATGGGTGACTGCTGTCATTTAAAATTCTTGAAAGTTTTGCATAAGGAGCTGCTGCTGCAGCAGAACCTTATGCATTGCTGGTGACATCCACGTGAAATAGCAAACTTTGCAAGTGAAATGGCTTTTTCAAAAGGCTACTGTGATATGCTGAGCTAGAAGCTCTGAAAAAAGCAGTCTGCTTCTGTGTTGGTTTTCATCACCAGCCGTCAACAGCAAGGAGAGGAATTTCATCTTATGCTGGGTAGCAAATTTTTCAGATGATGCCTGAGGCACAATTGGCTGTCACTTGCTGCTTGCTGCTCTATTAGCTGTGTAATGCTGACAACAATAAAAACAAGTTGTCAGTTTGTTAACCCAATAAAATTTAGAGAATAGATATATTGAATCAAGTTACAGATTTTAGTGATTTATAAAAAAGAATCTCAACCTATAAATAGATGATCATTCTTCCTTAAAGAGGAGACGACTTGCAGTGTTGAACACTTTATGTATAGAAGTAAATGAGAAAATGGGCATTTGATGACATTAGAGAACTATGTTGTAATAAGCAATCAAAATAAAATTTCCTTTATGAATTTTGAAAATTCATTAGCTTGGTAGAGCAGCTAAAGCAATATGCAAAAAAATAAAAGGTCAAGAAAACAAAACAGTATGAGAATTGTATTTCTCTTGAGAATGGTATATCAGCAAAATTATTAAGATCTGGTTTAAGTTACTCATTCATGTAATCAAGTTTTTTATGTCATATATGCTTAGGAATTCATGTTTATGTGGAACAGTTCCTGCTTTTTGATATAAAACAAACTTTAGTGTCATTATGCAGCTTTTTTCTAAGCAAAGCAATCAAAGGCCCAAAATTATCAGAGTGCAATTAAAAAAATGTTTTTATAAGATCTAAAATTTGTAAGGTGGGGAAAGTAAGTCCTAAACTAAATTGTGCCAGCATAGGTTTTAAAAGGCATATGTTGGAGCCTGTTACGTGCAGTGTGATATAGAGGTGAAAAGATGTTATATGCTGTCTTGTCACCTTTAAAATATGTATTCCTTTTTAGCACGGCATGTTCCCCTCACTGTTCTTTCTTCCCGTAGTCAGTTTTTCTGGGGAAAGGAAAGGACTTTTACAGAGGTGAATTTCCCAAGCTGTTCCAAAGTTCAGATTGGAAGTTCACATGTTCTCCTTTTAGAAATAAAGAATTCTGTAAAGAATGCTTTAATTCTTGCTAACACGAGTATAAATGTAGAAAACAACATAGAGCATATTCATACATATATACAAGAACAAATGGGTGCCTTGCTTTTCATTACTCTTTCTTGCCTGGCTAATCTTCATTTTCTAAACAAAGCTACGTACAGATACTGCAGTTGTAATTTTTCATTATGGAACATTAGCATTTAATCTTGATGAAACAGGGTTTTCTTGATTACATTTGACATACAATAAACTACTTCAGCAGATTGGGATTTGACGGAGAATCACCTCCCATGGATTATGTTTTTGACAAATGTGTCCCTCCCGAGTGTTCCTCAGGGATATGGAAGGTCTCCAATACTTGGGAAGGTAATAATTCTAGTTTTTATTGTACAGTGACTGCATGTCATCTTGTACAATGGAAAAGAAATGACAAATACCAAGGTCTTTGGCAGAAGGTGGTACAGGGTATAAAATTTTAGATTTTAATTAAGTTGATTAATACTCCATTTAAACTATAGAATATGCTTTAGTTAGTAAATGTTTAAATAATATACTGAAACAGACAAAAGATGCTGTTGAAAGAAGTTCTCCAAACTGATGTGCTGGCAAATGTGAAGTACTGGTGAGCAGTATAAAGAATAAACCATTTTGCAATGCTTTAGTGATTTTCTCCAGCTTTATGCCATAGGAACCCCATCTCTCCTTTGGAAAGAAAACCTGAAAGCTCTATTTCCTATACTGCCTGCACTACAACAGTATATTCAAAGGAATTTCATATGCTTCTTGTGTCTGATAAATAGAATTTGCATATTGTACTTAAGTTGTAATCCAGTTGTTGTTGACATTTGTTTAATTATTATTATTTTAGGGGGGAAATAAGCTATACTGTAGCATTTCAATCGTGTATTTAATATTACTATTAGAAATTGCTAGACCATTGGAAGACAGCAATGACTGTATTGACATTGATTAGCATGATGTGGAAACTCGGCTGTTGGTTTTTGCAGTGTGATATAAAAAGCAAAAATGAACCGCTGTGCAGTTTGGCTTATGTTTGCTTTAAAGTGTGTAAAGTTTTAGTTATTTTGCAAAACTGTACTGTATTTGGGGGTATACAGTTATGGAGGTAACAATTGTTTTTCAAAGGACAGATAAACTTTCTCTTGGATCATATGATGTATCATCTTAATTTGGCTTTTGTTATGCAGAAAGTTAACACCAGCTATTAAAATATATTTTAGTAGAAATGCTTTAATTCCTGTTTCTTCCTCTACACTGTGAATATTTAAGCTTTGGTGGACTAGAGCAACATCATGCTGCCCAAAGTACTAACCTATGCAAACTAGTTCACATTTTAGTTGATGTCACAGTGGATGTAACATAGCAATTTTGCAGAACATTAACCGTCATTCAAATAAAATATTAAACCCAGCATGATGTATGTATTATATTCATAAACAATACTCTGTAAAGCTACCATTCCCATAATATAAGCTATCAAAGATGTATATTGTTTTAATTGAGGAAGCTTTGAGTTTTCAAACTTAAGTAGAATATTTAGCACTATTATTTGTCAAGCTTGATTTCAGAATATAGTTTCCTAAACCACTGTTTTATTTCAGACATGCCCTCTCCTTAGAGGGTTAACTTGCTTTCAGTCTGTATTTGTAACTCTTCAACTGAACACCAAGTTACATTCCATGCCCCTTGATTTGTTTAAATAAGCAAAGATAGTAAGTGAAGGAGATCTGCTGATTTAATTGATCCTGGTTTGCTGGACTTTGAATGGGCATTTGGCTAGGCATGCTCTCAGTGCAACACTAATGAAAAGAAATTGATTTGCTGGCTTCTTTAAGACAATTTTATATACAAATGTCATTCTTGGGTTATCTTTATTCATTTACACAAGTCAATTATTTTTACAACATTGTAAGAAAGTTTAAGTTAAAATAAAATCCAGAAGTATTTTGGAACTGCTCTGCCTGTAGTTGAAGAAGATTATTATGCTTAGGGACATGTTTTGTTTATTTGAGTGTTAACTGTATGGTATAATGGACTGCATTAGAATATTTTTACCAAGTGTTAGTTTGAAGAAGGCTGTTAACAATGAATGAGGACAAATGGCCGCTACAGATGGAGCTGGTTAGCACCTTTTAGGTAAGTGATATACCTTTGCTACCACACTAATTTCTCCTCAAGAAATACATGTTAGCATTTCCTATGAAGTTTCATTAGTTACAGAGCTTTGATTCCATGGTCTGAAATACTGCCAGAATAGCAAAATCTAATCTTTATATATACTGTAGCAAACAGCAGTTTTCAATAAGAAAAAGATTTAAGAGCTGCCAAAATGGACCTCAAGCCCTTGGAATGTGTTTTATTTGAAAATCTCTCCATAATCTGCTAGTGCTACTGAAGTATTTGATTTTTGTTTCTATCCTAAATCTATATTTCAGGTGAAGGTCCTCCTGGCAGCCACTGATGTGAACTTGGTAGGAGTCATGTGTTCAGCATCTGAGGGATTATGTCCTTATTCAATAGCAGTGTCAAATCTAACAAATGACTGAAATGAAGAAGGCTCTTCTGTCTTTACTGGCCCCATAGAATGTAATTATCAACTTCATAAACACTTGAAAGTCTTGTGGAAACTGTCCATGCTGTGTATTGGATAGGTTGAGAGTTTCCAGCTATCACTGCTTTTAGGATGCCCTTGTGTCTGCTCTGTCACAGAACTGGACCTTTGATTTTCTCTGTTGTGTTAATTGGCAAGAATAAGCTAATATACCATAGAGTTCCCTGTACAGAGCAAATAGTTGCCCAGTGCATTGGCTGTGACAAGTACTGCCTCCCCTCCCTTCTCCCACTCACACTAACAAGCCCAACCATGTTTCTAATCCTGTCCTGCGGTGACTACCTCTCTCATCTTTCTGTGAAGCTACCTGTGGGACACAGTAAAATGTTATCAACAAATGATCCAGATTTGGTTTTTTTCTTCCAAATGATTCCTTTTATCATCATTCTTTCAATGATTCTGTTTATTGCACAACCTCAAAACCAGTAATATTGACATAAGGAAAGAGGTAGCATGACCTGGGTGGGAAGGCGTGCTGAAGTGAAAAGCCACAGATTTCTTACTCAGATTTTGCTGCAGAGGTTATTACAAGTCAAGCATATGTCTGAGGGTACCATCTGAATAACTAACCTGTAAGCTGAGCAGTACTGTGTGGATTTGCTTGACCTGTCTGAGTGTATGTCTGTACTGTAGTGTCAGAAGTGACTCTGGGGTAGTGTGCAGATACCTCCTTCAGCTTTTGAACAATTATTTGGAATCCCAAGAGCAGGCCATCCACTGGCATATGGCATTCATAAAGGCAAATTTATCCTTCAAGAAAAGGAGATCTCAGTACAGAGGAAACAAAATGTCAATAGGTTTAAAGTGCGTTTTCTTGTGCCCTGTGGGAAGGAAATCCTTTGTGTACAGTCAGAAGACTGAGCCCCATGACACTACAGCAAGCTCCTATCTCTGAACTGTATTTAGAATTATAGTGAGATGATGTGTGACAGAGCTCACCAGCTCCACAAATTTGATACCATATAATGCGCTATGTGCTGGGCAAGTATTAACAATGACAGCAGAAACTGGAGATTGATATTTATGCACTATGTCCTAAACAGAGTCTAAACAGTCCTTGATTTTATATATTTTAGCTTTGTTTTCTTTCCCACCTGCCTGCTGTTGACAAAATCTACATAAGAACATGCCTGTTCTCATGCAGAAGACTACTGGCTTGTGGCTTTGACCACTTGTGTCTACAAGGAGAGATCCCCAGATATTAACATCTGGCTCTTAAAATACTGCTTGGCATATAAATATCCATTTTCAATGATTTCACAAACAACTGTCAGCTTTCGTGATTGTTCTTCAATTCAAGCCATATTTTTTCCATATTTTTGCTCCTCCTCCATCTTTCTTCTTGTGACATGCTTATGATCTGTGTTGGTTGTACAGCAGCTTTTCCAGGACTCAAAGGAGATACTTTTAAGAGGCTTCTCAAAGCACTGAGAAGAATTTAAATTGCTTGAAAAATGGTAGTGTTGTCTCCTCATTAAGGTCTTCCTCCCCCAGCAGTTGTCCACTGGCTTCACTGTACATTTTGGTCTTTTGCTTCCTCTTCTTTCTGTTAAGTTCTGACATCTCTGTCACCAAACCTGGTGGGCTTGGGACCCCTTCAGTCAGGCCTTTACACCACTCTTCTGCCTCCATAGTTTCTGTATTCAGATTTGGAACTTAAAAGTGGCTCACCTATCTGTTCTCCTGTCAAGATCTTTGAGCAGAACTCAAAGAATATTAGCATGTACCCATTTACCCCAAGAAGTATTACATTTCTGTTGTGTCAGCTTTGAACAATTCTTTGTGAAGAGTCCTCTTGACTATGCTTTCCCTGGCCTGCCTTGCTGGTGGGTGCTTCTGGCAGCTTCTGAGCTGTGCTACTGATTTCAGAAAAGAGGGAGATCACAGTTTTTTCTCTCTGATCAATACCTAAATCACTTCTTGTTCATTCTCTTCTTCAGAGGATTAGCATCTTCATTATGTTGTCCCTAATTCTGGGCTGAACTCTTTATTCAGGAGTCATTCTCTCTCCATCAGTGAAGGGCTCATGCCATGTAAATGTAGTCTGTTGCTCACTGTGGAAGGTGTGTTGATAGGCACTGTCCTGCTAAACGGAACATTTCAGTTCCTAGCACTGCTTGTCCTGTATTCATAAGATAGGATCTCTGTGAAACATGATTATCTGTACCAAATCCCAGCCTTTCTATAAATAAATGTGTCTTTATAAAGTAAACACTTTTTTCTTACTTATAGTCCATCTGACTCAAGATGACATTGACATCCTCCAATTTCATAGATAGTAGTGATATTAGCAAGCATGCATCTAAAATGTGTTAGATGAATTATGCTCTAAGGTGCTGTTTAGGCAGACCTTGATGACTGCAGCTATTTTACAGTATGGATATATCAAATTAAATGGGATAAGTGGCATATCAGGTCTTGCTGGCAAGTGGTTCAACTGAGAACTGAGTTTATGTATTTGAGTGACCCAGCTATTCAAGAGACTGTTGTTTTCATTTCTACTCCAGCAGTCCAAAACAAATACAAGAATTAGGTGACAATTATTCATAATCAACTAGTTAGCTATGCAGCTTAAACAATTCCTCCATCAATATGGAAGTGAATAAAATCAATCATAGTTTTGGCAAACCATGTGCAAGGTGGATCTAGGCATTTGAATTGACATTCAGCATGCTTGCACTTCCAACCTTTATCTTTCCCTCTTCTAACTTTATTAAAAGTTATTAGTGTGCTTTTAGAGAAATTAATTTTCAGTAGAAGAATAGATTCAAGGGTCTTGTAAGGTCTTGGAAGACAACATTTTACAGTTATGCTTTCAAACCTTTAAGTTACTTAAACTTTTAATTTGGTCCCTTGCATTTTTGCCTGGCCCCTAAAACCCACTAAAATGGTTTTGCTCTGCTCTATGTTCAATGTTTCATTTCCTGTGGCAATTAACTTTGTGAGAAGGGAGAAAGACCATAGACATTGGAGTACGTCAAGTAACTTTCTCTTCCTACAATTTTTCATTGCTATGCTAAATAACATCTGTGAAATATCCTTCATTTCAAGGCTCTTCATTCCACTCTCATGAAACATATTGCACAAGTGCCATAGCCCCTGTTCAAATGCCGCTGGCCACAATGCTCTGTTGCACAGCTGTGATTATTATGAAAGGGGGGACATTTGTTACAATGGCAACAGCTACAGTCTTGATGTCAGAGCAAGGACTCCTGCGAGAGCTTTCTCAGCTTGTCCTTACTTTGAAAATGGTAGTCATCACTGCACTGTACCAGTGCTCTGTGAGATTAGTAAAGTTATAACTTTGCAACTTGGTTTGTTTTCTGGATGCTATAAAGTCAACACAGCTGCAGCTGCTTTTGAGCAGATTGATTTTAGATGCTGTTTTGACTAGTTGCTGCTTATGTTTTTGTTGGTATGCTACCGCTTTCTATTTTGACTTCTTATGGTATGGTGGCTAAGCCAGAAGAATACATCAGATCTGCTCATTTGAGGGCCTTCTGCCAGTCTAGAGATGTATGTTTTCTTATTTTAAGCCTTTCTCCTTTTTCCAGCACTGCCAAACTGTTTCTCAAAGATCAAGGATATGAACAGAATTGTACTCACCCTCT